GATTTAAACTTAATAAGCATTCTTTGCGAAATATCAAAAACTATATTTCAATCATTTGAAGATAATTATAATTTTACTGATGCGTTCAAAGTCTAATTATAAAGTAAGAAGATGCATTACACGTAGAATTACTACTTCTCATTTTCCTCCGATTAACTTATAATGAAACAAGACTGTCCCTCGATAGTGCATTTGCTGTATAAAAAATTTCCCAATTGAATTGAATTCATTATTTATTTCGTCAACATTACTTTCTTCTTCAAAATCAAAACTTAAAATTAAAAAAAACAATCTTACGCAATTGCATGCGATCGAATTTTCGGATGGGAATGAAGAAAAAATTGTATGAATTTTGGTATAAGTACATTTAATGGTTGTGATGGTGCATTTTCAAGTTGATCAGCACTGTCTTGACAAATTTTTTGTAATGCTCCAAATGCTCCTTCACATAAATTAATATCAGGTGAATCCAAACAAGAATAAAGATGTTCTAATAGAATAGGCCATTGTTCTAATAAACCTTTTGTTACAATTGTTGTTATTAATATGCCAACAGTAGCACGAATTAATGGCGAACGATCTCCTAATGCTGATAGACATTCTTGTTTAATGTACGATCGTACATCGTCTGGAAATTTTTCATAATGTGATTTTGCATTATTTTTCAAAATTAATCCAGATAATGAACGTGTAGCTTCTTGTTCATCTAGTAATTTTGTTAAAATGTAAACAAGATATTTATTGAAATCAGGATACTGATTAAGTGATTCTAAACGTGCTTGAACTTGTCGTTGAACTTGTGTATCGGGTGATTGGGATTGACGTAATAATGTTAGAATTTGTTGAATATCATTAGCTTGTACTGGTTGCCAACTCATTATGTATTTACAAAAATAAAATTTCTTTGGGATTTTTTTCGGTTTTTGAAATTTCTTTTGACTAGATGAAAATCGAAATAAGAAGATAATCAATGTATTGTATCAATATAAAAATTTAAAAAAAAAAGGAAAATAATAAAATCAAATAAAAATAAAGGTCGTAGGAGGTGAGTTAGACATGTTAACCAAAGAAATATATTGTTCGCACAGCATACACAAATAACCAACCAATCAATGTCAAGTCCTGAGTTTACCGCTTTTCAACCAGTGTTTTCTTCCGTGTGATTCATAATTCTCATTGGTAACAATACGATTCCGAATAAAACACAAGTGATTTTATCTTGAAAGTATTTTCATTGACTTTCACCAATCTCTTTGGAAAAGAAAAGGAACTTTTCACAATATTTATCTTTTATGACGAATACAATTTTTTTTTGTACGAAACAACTTGAGATATTTCAAGTCTTATCTAATCTAAAACTCATTTTCTTCAGAGGAGTCATTGTTCTTGTGAAAGCTAAATTTTTTAAAGAGACACATAATACTGAACTATTTATGTTATGTACATTTCATTGAGAGAAAACATCGTTGATCATTGATAAAATACGGATCTATGAATAATTTGCTCATTTCCGAGCCGCGTTACAACATAACAGCACAGAATTTTGTTTTTGATGGACTCCTCTATGCATTTGCAACATTTACGAAAACACAACAACACACTTCATATGTTTATGGCAAATGAAATGAATGAGCGCAGAACACAAAACATTCCCAAAACCTTTTTACATTCATATTTATATGAGTAAATTGATCTTGAACAATACAGAACTTGTTCGAATGTAATCTTCCATCCATCTAAAAGCTTGATTAGAACTAGTTTTGGGCTGATGAATTACAAGAAATATTGTATGATAAAAGGAGAACCTGATAGAATAGAATTACTGTCAAACAGCAACGTAAAAATTTTTTTTTCATACAAACATGTAGTAGAGAATTCTACGAGAGGTCTATCAAAAATAAAACACTACCTCACTATGTTGAAAGATTATTTATTTAATTAATTGATTTGAAGCATATTTTGAGTATGTTTTGCTTGAGTCAATTTCGTATCCTGTATCACAACTGCATTTTTCATGATTAGCTTAAAGAAACTAATTTTCACTACAGAGGAGTTTTCAAGCTCTAAAAAGCCAAGGCTGCTTGCTAGGAAAGAAATAACAGCACGCTAAGCTGCATAAACAAGAATGATCTTCGTTACTTCTTATAAAATTCCAGTTTGAGCTCAAAAAAATGAATTGAAATTCTACTGTATGACATAGCCTGGCATTTATTATTAAAATTACTCATTCTAATGAGCAAGAACAATATTACGAGATTTTACTCAAGTATTCTACCAGTATACTACTGAATAGAAGTAATTCATCGAATTCGATAGCTTCTATGATGACTAAACGATTGCATCAAAATTATTATATATTATGTTTTGTTTACAAGAAAAAAAATCTACTCGAGTAGCACACGTTCGTTCAATAATATTTGAAACAACACGGGTCGTATTCTTAGAATTTAGATGCATCTTCGAGAACGACACTGTTTGAAGTATTCTATTGTTAGAAGAATGTTTTGTTTGTTCTTTTCCATATTCTTCCAATTTAAATATATATTAATTAAAATATTCAATATAAGAAAATATTTCTGTTTTCACAACATGCCGATTGACGGAACTATTGCAGTGAATATTTTCTTTTTGGTCACATGTTCTAATTTTATAATATTGAGAAATTTATTAAGTTAACTATAATAATATTCTTTACCGTTGTGCATTGATCACATAAATACTATGGTTTAGGATTTTACTCTTCGGTAATAACAAAAATAGTGAAGTGAACACTTCGACTTTTCTCGTCTTTTTACGCTACTGTGGTGTTCATGTATGAGACTTCATGAGACACAAAATGGTATTGAAACTATCGGTAGCGTTGGCCTTTTGTTTACTTATTTTTCTATCCAGAAAGAGATACATTTAGTCAAATCAAATTGTATTGATCATAGAATCTCATAACTTATAGCATGCATCAAGATTTACAAATCAAATGAATTCTTTTTTGTCTCACGATATTTGATTTCTAATAAAACTTCTCTTAGAATACACGACACGTATGACAAAAATGGATTTGTCACAAAAGTATCCTCAAGCTGCTGCTAAAAAATAAGTATGAGAATTTCTAGCTTCTACAGTGAGAAAATACTCAAAATTTGTCTCTTGCGCAAGTTAAAAAACAATGAAAGAAAATATAAAATTTTTATAATTTAGTTTGCTTGAGTCTTAGACTCCAAACAGACCAAAAAGATAAAACAGAATTAACCACTAAATCGTCTCAAAAAGATGACTTGAGTATGAATTAATCAATCACGTTGCTTTGTTCTGTTTTATTTTTTTTTGGTCTGTTTGGGGTCTTAGTATAGCAATTTATCTATGGATGGATAGGATTTACATATGTCAAACAATTCATGGATGGATCACAGTAAACTTTAGAATGCTTTCGTATTGGTTCAAACGTCTAAAGACAATATCCGAGTGTAGTGCGTGCGGGAATACATATGCATACAGTATGTTATTTAAAGTTATACTTTAACAAGCAATGAAGTTTCTTTTGGTTTACTTCAAACGAACTCCGAAAGATAAGTCGAGAGAAACTATTCCACAACAAAACTATATATATATATATACAATTAATGATCGATAGATGTCAGTAAACCATTTTCTTTCTTTTTTTCTTTCTTTTTTAAGAAAAACCTGAAAAAACGGATTTGAATCTTATTGCATAATTATTTTTTTTTAAATTTTAAAATTCCTATTTCTTATTGATTGGTTAAGTAGTTTACCAGAAATTTTCGGCCATCTTGAAATGCCACCATTGCTTCTTAAAATTAATTGATTTATCTATTTCTCCCTTTTCTACGCTCGAATGATTTGTGAGCATAAACGTAAAAGGAAGGTTTCATTCTCGCTTTTTATATTTAGATGTTAACAGTGACAACCGTTCAGACCACCTAATTTTTGTGAGTATGAAACAAAGAAAAGATAGAATGCTTTCTTAGTTAAGAATTTTTTTCGACCTTTATCTTAAAAAAAAACACATTAAGTCAAATGTGATTATTCGTTTTGTATTCAAGATCAATTCGAGAAACGAGGACATCAATTAATCTTTAATTCAAGAATATAAATACCATATGAGATACAGTTGGAGAAATTTGCCAAGTTACCATAATGTTCGTTCTATTCGATCGCTTCGCTATGCGATTTGATGAATGAATTTCTTCATTCGATACATAAAATCGATTTCTAGTATCTACTGTTGACTTTTTACCTTTATTTATAAAACCTATACTATTTATAGTATGTAATTTGTTAGTATTATGATCATTTATAATTAAGTCAACGAGTAAATAAATATAAGAATATTTAACGATTGTCAAAAAAGAATAAGAACGAAAAGAAAAATTGTTGTCCAAATAGAAAAGTTATCTCTGAGATATAACATCGAAGTTCTCTGTAGAATACTGTTTTCATTCAATAAAACTTACATTGAAAGATACTCACCTAAGCACAATTCATAGAATCTATTAACCTTTTATGATAGATAAAGTGTATCACATGTTTATCGAATATGTTAAATAGTGAATAAAAATTAGACTAGTGAAATATAAGTCAAGTCTCGATATTGTGCTACACTTATAGTTCTATACGCACCACAATGTTAAAATCGCTGGATGCTTTATATTTACGACAGAATTTGATAGGGTAGTGCCAAAAGAGCATTATTTGGAAAAAAAAGAGACTATCATTGCATGTTTCTATGATCTTAATTAATGATGGCATTATTATTAGCGTAAGTTTTAAGGCATATAGTGTGCATTTATAATACACAACTCAAAGACATTTTTTTTAAAATCATACGTTTGTATGGTTAGCATAGAACTATGCATATTTTATTGAAACTTGCTCACTAAGAGTTCTGCCATCTAATGACATTATTAAGATAAAAGATTCGTAATCAAATCGGTTGGTGCATTTCCACTATTTTACGCAAGTATTTTTTTAGAGAAGTTTCTTCAATGATGTCGAATTTTAATCAAATGTCTTCTAATAATTATGCTACCATGCCAATAATGAATTCCCAACTTCAAATGACAAATTCAAGTTTCATCAAATCTGAAATTGAACGTTTTGAAGGTGTACATCCATCGATTTATTCAATCTATGAATTAATCGATCAGATTAAAGATCAACTAAATACTCAAGCAAATATTCGTGAACATGTTATGATTATCGAAGGTATTTTCAGTGCAGGCATGTTTTCTTGAAACTATTTTCATTTAATCATTAGATTCATTTGTGAACAGTCAAGAATGGACATTGAGCCGAAATGTATTAGATATTCGAATAGGCTTGTTAGGCTCAATATCAAGTGGAAAATCTGCCTTAGTTCATCGATTTTTAACTGGTATTTATATGCAAGAAGATTCTCCTGAAGGTGGAAGATTTAAAAAAGAGATTAACATCGATAATCAAAGTTACTTATTACTTATTCGAGATGAAGCTAATGCACCGGATACACAAGTAAATAATAAATTATTTGTTTCTTGAATTTTCAATTTCATTTTTATTTTAGTTTACTCATTGGGTTGATGCTGTTGTGTTTGTATTTAGTTTAGAAAATGAAGAAAGTTTTAAAACAATTTATCAATATTATACAAAAATGAGCCATTACAGAAATATAGGCGATATGCCCTTAATTCTTGTGGGTACACAAGGTTTGAAAACGTTTTTCTTCTATTTTCTTTTTAATTAAATAATTTTTTCTTTTTCTAAGATGCGATCAGTGAAAGTAACCCACGTGTTATACATGAAGATCGAGCGAGAAAATTAGCAAATGAACTTAAACATTGTACATATTATGAAACATGTGCCACATATGGTCTTAATGTTGAAAGAGTATTTCATGATGGTGAGATTTTTCAAACGAAAAAACAAAAAATATTTAAATAATTAAATTTATATATTTGATTTTAGTTTGTCAAAAAGTTGCCCAACAACGATATGGTTTTTCAACGTCAACATTATCATCCAATCGTTCCATAGCATCTCAACAACAATCACCATTGTCAAATCAAATAAGAATTTTAACAAATTCTCAAAGTGCTACACAATCTTCGCATTTAACTGGAAATGTAAATTTAGCTAAAACAGCGCCAGCATCAATATTTGCATCTTACCACTATGATCAACAGCAACCTATTCTTTCGCCTCCAACGCAAAATATACCTATTGCACAACTTGCTCAGTGTGTCAATACTCAAGCAATGAATGGTGTACTTAAAGATCGGAATAATCAACAACAGCAACAACAATTGATTCAAGTTGATAAACGTACTCGATCATTTAAAGAACCATTCGCAGGAAAACTATCAACGCTTAGTGAAACACAAACATTACCTATATATGAAGGACAATCAAGAATTGATACCAATGAACAAGTAACACCGACACAAAAAAGAAAAGAATCAAAAAGAAAATCAAATATATTCACAGTAAGATTTTTCTCAAGCATTCATTTTTTTCTTTTTATATGTTCAAGTTTATTCTATCGAATGATTCGTAAGGATTCTGACAACGAATTTCAGCTAGTAATAATAAACAATCAGTTTTGCTTTTCTCAAATCAATTCATTCTTACTTCTGTAGCATAACTATTTCAAATTGTAGTAGTTTATCATATATCTATATTCATTTCGGATTGTGTATATGATAGTTTTCATATGTAGATAAAATATAATTATGTAAATCTATACATTCATACCGTTTATATGTGACTAACATTAAAAGAATGTGTACATTTGATATGAAGTTTCAAGTTTTATGAAATTTATTCACTGATAGATGCTAAAATAATGAAGAAAAGACAATCTCAGTACAGTTCTAACGAAGTTACAATGTAATACACGATCGTGCTGCTTTAACCGTTGGGAAATCTCATAATTCATACGATGGATCATAAAGAGATGAAAACAAAATGTTAGTGAGCTCGTTAAACTGTTAGAGTACATGCTAAATATGTTTTTGTTGGCAATCTTTCAGATAGATAGATTTTCTTGTGATCTAGTTTAACGTTCACTAATAGTCCTGCTTTACAAGAGCACTCTAATATTGAAAACGGACTCTTGTGCTGTTTTATTCGTGATAACAAGGTAGAGGAGACTAACCAAGAATTCAATTTAAGTTTCATTGGATGATAGACGTGAAAAATCGCAAAATTCAATCCGGTACAGACAAATATCTATCGTTGTAACTTTTGTTTTTACTGAAGTCTATTACATATTATCATTATATAGTTGTTAAATACGAATCTCACTAGGTTACATAACATTTGAATCATGAATGAGAAAATTATATAGAGAATAGAAAACAATGAGACACTATTTTTGCTACTATTATTTCATATGAAAACATGTAACTTCCATTTTTTTTTATCAACCTCTGGATATACTCAAATACTTATACAATAATAGAATTTATATGTTTTTATACTTAGAGAAGTAAAGGAGAGATAAAATCGTAGTTTTGTTCTTATCATATCGTACATTTTTTAATGGGATATTTTCTCTATGAGCACAATTTATGTTTGTTCTTGCTAACCCATGTGCCATATAATGTCATGTCGTCTTTATTGCGTTGTTATATAATTATTATTGTAGAACACAAGTAACACGCGGAAATATTTCACCGAAATTGCAGAAACAGCACTACATATGTTCGTGTTAACTTTTTCTCTAATTATATTCTTCATTTATCTTGAATTGGTTTATTTCAGTTAATGAAATGCAAACCATGATGAGAAGAAAATATTATCTTTTTTTTTGAAATATTAATATATTGACTACTATGTTATTATTATTATTTTAGCCTGGAAAAAAAGATGAAGATAAAAATAAATCTGATCGATTAGGACATGGCCGAGCAATACCAATACGACAGGTTTGATTTCAAATATTTCTCGAAAATTAAATTAACATTCTATTAAATTTTTTTCAGGGTTTCCTGTATAAAAAAGGAACAAACAGTATTAATCGAGAATGGAAAAAGAAATATGTTGTTCTATTAGATGATGGTCGAATAATTTATCATCCATCATTACATGTAAATTGATCCTTTTGATTACAAACAACAATCATAAGTCATTTTAACCTTTTTTCTTTTTAGGATTATGAAAATGATTCTCATGGAAAAGAAATAATTCTTCAACGGACGTCAATTAAAATTCCAGGTTCAAATAAATCTCGTATCGCATTACGTAGCTCGAATAATGATAGTAAATTAAATGATGTCATATCAACAGATTCATTATCAACTACATCAAGTAAAAATATCTACATATGGTTCAAACAATTTAATTGTGTTTCTTTTTTAGGCAAAATCGAAACACCGAATGCAAAAAAACGTCATCGCCGTTATCAACAATCAAATGCGAGTAATTCAACCAATAATTTTACAACACCAAAGTCAACATCGAATTCTAATGGTGGCGACGATGATGGCGATGAAAATGTTTTTATTATTGTGTCATTGGATAAACAATGGTTTTTTGAAGCACAGTCAAACGAAGAACGTGACGAATGGGTACAAGCTATTGAACAACAAATTCTATTTAGTTTACAAAATATCGAGTCATCAAAAGCAGCACGAGCAGCTAAAATAGGTGGATCAACTATAGCTGACTCAGCATCAGTACAAGCCATTAAACAAATACTTGGGAATAATTTTTGTGCAGATTGTGATCAAATGAGTAAGAAAATATTGAATCACCAATTTGTTTTTTTATTATTTTTATTATTTCTAGATCCAACATGGGCTTCATTGAATATTGGCTCACTAATTTGCATGGATTGTGCATCGTTACATAGAAATCTTGGTACACATTTATCACGTGTTCGATCACTTGAACTAGACGAATGGCCGTAAGAATTCATTGATCTTGTTTTTTTAAATGATATATTATCTTTTATGTTCAAAAAAGATCGGAACTTGTACAAGTAATGCGTTCGATTGGAAATAAACTAGTCAATTCAATATGGGAAGTAAATATCAAAAATCGAATTAAACCTCAACCGAATGCTTCTTCGTAAGTTTTTATTTATAAAATATGAACCTTACTATTTACTTAGAAGAAAGAATATCGTTAAAGTGTAAAACATTCAAATAGAGTAGTTCATCTGAATTTTATTATAAACTCACGACGATTTCGAGAATTAAAAATCAGACACTGCTGATTCATAGTATATGAATAAAAAGTATCAAAATTATACTAAGACTAGGCATTTCTCTGTGTTTCTTACGAAGTGCTGCTATCGTGTAGAAAGTCAAATGCACATAATCTTTTTCTTCTACCAAGACGAAAGGAACAACGTCTATTCTGAGATAATAGAAGACAGAGATAAATTATTGCTTGGTGATTTAAACTATGTCAAGATTTTATGACAAATGAACTTTGTTACTGAATGTTTTATTAAAAGTTGCAGCTTATTACGGTTCATTGAACATTGTATTAACTGTGTGATAGGAATGTAGCTTTCCTGACAGAAGGAAATGCGTATCTATCACTATGCTATGCAAAAATAATTGCCTGTTTGACACTAGAATCTACCAAATGTGTTGATACTAGATTTTTCTTTTTTTTTTTTTAATTTTCATCTGATTACCATTGATTAATTTTTTTTTGAAGATCTGAGCGCGAACGATGGATTCGGGACAAATATGAACAAAAATTATTTGTTGCGCCGTTATCAATTTTACCTAATCAAGCACGACAATCACTTATTGAAGCTATATCAAAAGAAGATTTGTATACAGTTATACTTATCTTAGCTCATAGAAAAATATCACCGGATGATCTCAATTCTTCATTATTACATGTAGCGGCTTCACAAGGAAATGTTACTATGTTACAACTTCTTCTTTGGGTAATTCTAATCATTACAATTGAGATTTAGAGAATGAAAATTCAACCGATGATTCCTATTAGTTTTTCATCATTTTGAAAAAAATTTGATTAGAATATTAAAGAGTAATTAACAGTGCGTACCGGTAAAAATGCCAAGTTCATAATTCGAGTCAATGAATAGAATTTCTTGAAATTTTGACTGGTACTATAATGCGTTGTTAGAAAGATCGTTTTTTTCCAGTATTTTACATTGTAAATTTTGCAATGATAAAGGTTCGATTTGATTCCGCGCGTCTTAGGGTATTTGAAATATAAAACATATTCAACCGTCTTGAATAACATAAATAATTATAAATTATTGTCGCTCTAGGAAGCACTCAGATAGCCAGTGTGTCACTTTATTGGAGATATCTAAAACTGATAGATCAGTACCGAACAACAATAATAACTAACATTACGACGACGTTATTTGACACAATTCTATAACAGGAACAAAATAATGGAACAAGCGGTGGTTATTCTCTTGTTAGAAAAAATCGCCTCTTCAACTACAGTGCTAAATTCGACCGAGACATACTGACCTTTCAACTGGGAATAATTGTTTGTACACGTGTTCTGTACAATCGAAGTAATTATCCCAAATGAAACTAGAGAGTCACACAGAATATGTTAGGCGATTGAGGATGGTGTAGATAGAAATGCATACTACTTTGATTGATAAAACTGTCAAATAATATAATAGCTGATGTTACGTAAATTATTAGAGATACTCATTGAAACACCAATAGTCTTATAGATTAAGAAACCTAAAGTAATATGTATGATGTGAGCGCTTTTGCGTTTTTTTATTTCTAATCATTTTACTAGATTTTTTAGCCTATTGCAAGATATTATTTTTGTTATAATTTTCAATACATGATAAAGATTCATATCCAGATAAATTTTCACATCACATGATCAGAAGTCAAAATGTGTTTAGAATTTTTATCTAAAACATCGACCACAACAAACTAGTAGCACTTGAGCTCGAACATCATTTGTAGGGATGGTTCGTTAACTTTACTCTCAAATTAAAATGACAATACCATCCATATTCATATGTCTTAATTATATATTCTTCGACACGATAATAATGTTCATCATAAATATATTTAATTTCCATCGAATAATATTTTTAAACTCAAATTACGCAACTTTGAAATACAATTTTGAACTTTGCTATTTTTGTAGTATGGTGCTGATCCATTTTTAATGGATAGTCATGGTCGCACACCTCTTCAATGTGCCAATGGCGATTGCCTTCAAGTCCTTCAAACATTAACCAATAATCATATAAACTCACAACAACAATTAAAACAAACAGCAATTTCTCCGCAACATGGTACATTACCTCGCCAACGGCCACCTGCATCATCTCCCGCTCCACCTTATGATAAACTTCCATCATCTGTTATTTAATAATTCTCTATATTCAGATATACATATGTATTGTGTTGTATTAATGGTGCGATCTGTCTTTTTACTTCACATTCGTGCAATTTTCTCATATTTTTTAACTCTGAGTTCTTTTTCACTTTTACCGCTAGAACGTTTTTTGTTTTTGTAAAAATTTGACGTTCCGTGCTCTTATTCTTTTGCTTTCTTTTTCTTATTGCTATATAAATTCACATTTATTGTTTATCTATGTCTGTGACGTACTCTAATTTCTATTTCACTTAATCTGTATCATACAGGAAAAAACTGCCACGCTGGTTTATGTACAATATTGCATTTGTTTTTGTTCTAAAAGTTAACAATATTCTATAATATATATATATATATATATTTGTTGTTGTTTAGATTAATATATTGAAGTCAATAAATTCATAATGGCATCAATCAAAAGTAAGAATAGAAATTGAAATTCAACATAGAATAATTCGCTTTTTGTTCATAGTTAATGTTAAATGGAATAAAGACGTGCTTAAAGATGTCGAAGTCGATACATCACTACCACCCGCTGTTCTTAAAGCTCAACTATTTTCATTGACAAATGTTCCAACAGAGCGACAAAAAATTATGGTCAAAGGACAAACGATAGGTGATGATACATGGGGAAAAGTTACTTTAACAAATGGTTTAACACTTTTAATGATGGGTTCAGCTGATCCAGTACCACAACTACCAACGGAAAAAGTCAAATTTATCGAAGATATGACCGAAGCACAACTTGCTCAACATTTGCAATATCCGGGTGGTCTACAGAATCTCGGTAAGCATATTTTAAAATAGTTCATAAATGCTATGAAAATCTTGTAGGCTTTGATATTAATAATCTATTTTTCAAATATTATAATTGCGTCATTGAATTTTTCGCTTAGAAAACCACATTTCCGTAGGATACTCGAACGGAATTCTAATTTTTGAATTACCGATAGTTAATATTTACTAGACTGAAGAAAACTTCTAGAATATGAAGGTTTCCGTGTTGTAGAAGATTCATTCCAGCAGAACTTTCCACATTTTAATATCTATGCGATAAACTTTAAGAATTATCGTTCTAGGTGACAAGACTCTATTTAGCATTATAATCGTTCGATAAACAATAATTCTTTTAATACAACATTTACACTAATCAAACTATTTTTTATTAATATTTTCTCATTGATTAGGTAATACTTGTTATATGAATGCTACATTACAATGTCTAAAAGGTGTACCTGAATTACGTGATGCTGTTAAACAGTTTATTCCAGCAAATTTTACACATGCAAATCAAGGTGCTGTCATGGTTGATGGAACGCAAATGATAACAAACGCCTTGAAATCAACATTTCAACAATTGGATTTAACAGGTGAACCATGTATGCCATTAACATTACTGGCAACCATTCATCGTGAATATCCACATTTTTCTGAGAAAGATGATCATGGTCATTTGATGCAACAAGATGCAAATGAATTTTGGGTACAAATAATGCAAGTACTTCAAATGAATTTGGCAGGAAAAAAAATAAGTAATGAAACAACAGCGTCAAATACTTTTGATAACAAAAGTTTTATTGATCAATATTTTGGATTGAGATCTCAATCAATGTAGATATTCATGTTTGTTTCTAAAATACTATGAAATGATAAAAAAATTAATTCTTTAGAATGAAATGTGATGAAGCGCCCGAAGAAAAACCAACTGTAACTGAAGAGCATTTACTTCAACTTAGTTGTTTTATTAATCAAGGTAATTCAAGGAGATTTGTTTTTTAAAGCCGAAATTTTCATTATGATTTTTCGTTGTATAGATGTTAAATATTTATTAACTGGTTTAAAAAGTGTAAGTTTATCCAGCTACGAAAAAAATCATTTCTCTATCTGCTTAGTTTTTCTATAGAGATTGGAAGAACATATAACAAAACATTCATCGACACTTGATCGTGACGCTACTTTTACTAAATCTGTAAACATGATATTTTATGTTTTTAAACGATTTCTTTATTATAATTTTGTTTTTGATTTCTTAGAGTCGTCTGTCACGATTACCTGCTTATCTAACAATTCAATTTGTCCGATTTTTTTATAAAGAAAAAGAAAAAGTCAACGCAAAAATTTTGAAAGTAAATTGTGAATTTCATTTAATTAATAATAAAACAAAATTTTTATTTTGAAAGGATGTTCAATATTCAATGGTACTTGATTTATTTGATATTTGTACGCCTGATTTACAAAAAAGTTTTATGCCAACAAGAGAAAAAATAAAATTAGCTGAGGACGCAAAACTTGATCGTGAACGTGCTAAAGTATTTGATCACTATTTTAACTGACTAAGAAATAAGTTTCATTTTTTAGAAACTTGGTGAAACTGTTATAGAACCAAAAAATTTAACTCGATTACCCACGTCATTTCCTGACGGTAATTAATTATATTATTATGATTTTAAAAGAGAGTTTTATTTATGCAAACTAGATATTGGTTCAAATAATAGTGGTTTTTACCAATTAAATGCTGTTCTTACACACAAAGGGCGATCTAGTTCAAGTGGACATTATGTTGCGTGGGTTCGTCGTAGTCAAAGTAATTGAAACTATATAGAACTATCAGTTTTTATTTAATTTATTAAAATATTGTTATTTTTAAATCTAATTAGCTGAATGGCTCATGTTTGATGATGAAAATGTTACACCGGTGACAGAAGAAGATGTTTTGAAATTATCCGGAGGTGGTGATTGGCATACCGCTTATTTACTTATATATGGTCCAAGAACAATTGAATACGAAGATAAAACAAATGAAGGTGCTAGTGGAGAATCAAATGTTACTGCTATGGATACAACGGCACCATCAAATGGAGCCAGGACTTAGGCTTGTTTAGTTGACTATTTTCTTTTCTTTTTATTATTCAAAAAATATGATTATTTCTTCGAAACTCTGTACGCCTGTGCGTTATTGTGTTAATCTCGCAAGACGATTTCCAGAACACAAAAAAAATAAAAGAGAAAGATTGAATCTGTTAATGAAATAAATATGGTCAATTTGATTTAATACAAATTATTTCAACGAATGCACGAACATACGAAGGATGATTACCCAATCGTAGAGAGTTGTTCTTTGTTTCTATCTAAAGAAATTTCTCGAGTTTGAATATATAGTTTGTGTTGAACTCTCGACATTATTTTTCTATTCTGAAAACTTGCAGTAAAACTTTACAGTATTCATGTAATGTATATAATTAATTACTTGTATAACAGGGCTACTGTATTATGTAAATGTGATAGATTGCTACTATAAACGATATAGACAAAAAATAATTTACATACGATTATCTAATACTCGAGAAAGAAATTTTCAGAAACCTGAACTCGTCACTTTTCAATAACTAGAAATCAAAAACACAATTTTGTTCCGATATCAACTGATCATTTCAATATTCTTCTTTTTTATTGGTTGTTGGCTTTGTTTGAATTACTATTTAGTTTCTGTTTACTAATGCCATGAACCAAAGAAAAACCGAAAATTTAACCATATTTATATATCTTGTAAATCTCTAAGTATGTACATTTGTTCTCATACCAGAAACATTGGTATATAAGAAAAGAATAAATAAATAGAACGACTGGTAATGAACAGGAAAAATAGTTGCCAAGTAAATGAATCATAACTGTATATAATTGTCGTGATTCTAGGTAGTTTCGTCCGACAGACTTGATTAAATAAGCTTTGAAATTATTATCATGAAAATAGGTTTCATAAAATGTTTTAAAAAAGTTATTTCCGTATAATTTTTCATTTTCATCAGCTCTATAAGTAAACAGAACTAGAGACTTTGATTAACAAGACGTAGCATATTGAATTGACATTCTTTGAATTAAGTACTCATTGAAACTAAAATTCACCGTAGATCAAAATCTAAAGGATTATTTCATCATGGTAAATAAAAGATATTATAAAACATAGTCGTACGTTCAAACGGAATAGAAAAATAGATTAGTTTATTACGCAAGCTAACATTTCCCTATTGAAGAAACTTGCGTAAATATCATTATTTAATTAGTGAAAACAATTCAGTTATGTCCATAAATTGTGAACGATATATTTAGAAAAACATAGAAGATCCTTCTGATTATCTGGGTATTACAGTTAAGGTCACATGTTGATTTAAAATTTTCTGCATTGATTAAATTATCATCATCGATTAGCAATGTATAATAATAAAATCTAGTTGACTTTTTTTCTATACAGTGCTTTGTTTAATAACGATATTGTTATGTCTTCAAGAAGTATCATTTTCAAGTTTGCCTTAATTTTAAGTAGTACTTGTATATATATATATATATTATTTTACGTCAAGTATATTAGCATAAATTGAATGTAAATCATAAAAAACCAAAAGTGATATGGCATTATTGATGTTAGATGTGATTAAATTTATTATTGATCGTGGTTCTTGATAACTTGTAAAGCAATTGTTACGAAGTGCACGCTTGTAGATATTTACAAAATACAATATATGAGTTTTTCAGCATCTAGCTTAACTCAATGAGTAAGATCGAACTAGTTCTATATGAGCATAATTTTGCAGTTCAGTTACAGATTCCTGAATGGAATTTTTACAGATCTATTGAATATTTAAATGTTGAGACTATTCGTAGGATCAATTTATAGAAATTTTTTTAGCTATTGCGTTTCGTTTGAATACAATTGAATAATCAAAATCAAGTCAGTTAGTCGCTGCCGGACTTTCACATACATTTTCTTATAAAATAAACTTGAAGTATACGTACATGCTAGTTTCTACGTATTAAAAAAACTGGAAGTTTCAACACAAATGGATAATAATCTTAGTCTGCTTTTGTCGAGACTGATGTAATTATAAAGTAGATAAAAAATCCATGTCTTCGTGTACTTCACACACACACACACTAGATTTTCTTTTCTTTCAGTATTAGTCATACTTTTGATAGGGATACGGAAAACAAGACAGTAATAGTAATAGCTAGTTAAGGATACTTATACATTATTTTCATGTTAGATGAATCAATTAACAAAGCCGATTGACGTCTAAAGAAGATATTTTACTTTGTCAACAAATAAGAAAGTTACTTTTAAAGATCAACGACATTTGCACGCTCTTGAGTGTCTTATCAAATAGATCAATTAGTGTATATAGGAAGTCGTTGGACTAGTTTAAAGTTGAGACCTATCAAATGTCGTCTGCTGATTTTATAAGGATTAATTTGAATAAGTGTGTCATTTGAGTACATGAATAATTATCCAAGCAAATAACATCCGCACGGTCCTTGTCACTGATTGTTATATGACAAAAATTTACAGGTTTTATCTTCTGCAATTAATTTCTTTTGCAGAAACTTATAGCTCATCTCTATAATAAACAAGTGGTAATAAATAGAGCCCGATCTACTTATATTCATTATGTTTTTGTCAAGATTATCTAACAAGTAATAGTATTCAATTGTTTTGTAGTGCTATATAAGATTACTCTTTTAATACAACTATAAGATCACTAAATAGTCTATTCTTCGCAAATAAACTCAAATCAAATATATGATTCTCTATTTATTTTGTACAAAATTCGTTAGGATAAAATAATTTTTATTGAATTATCACTATGAGATTGACACTGTCTATATTTTATTTCTTAATTATTCTAAAACTGTTACAGAAAAGAAGGATCGCTGTCGTTTTTAGATGTCAAATCAAATGGAACATTGTGCTTTATCTTTATGAAATTTTTGTTCGCATAATTTTGTCCCGTATGAATGTTTTTTTGATTTCTAGAGCCCTGAAAGAGTCGATTCATTTCTTCAACACGTACTGAAATAAAACGAAAACTTTCATTTATCTTGACTGTCAAAAATGATTGTGATGATTAAAATGAATTATAATTAAAGATTGGATATAGTACATACAATCATTCTATTAGAGTTCAAACACTAGTTCTTGTTAACATACAGATGAGCTGAACGAATTAACTACCGTGGGAGGCAATTCATTGAAATTTTATGATATTAAACTTAGTGGATTTCTTCCAAATGTTTTTTCACGGATTAATATTTTAGCGAATCTTTTTCAATTTTACACTATATTTTTTTCTAATGATCTACGACTGAGTTTTGAGAAAAACATTAATACGCATAAGTTTCAAGACTGCTGTTTAACAAAGATAAAATTTCCTGAAAAATGAACACTTTAGATTTGAATATAAACATATTAATCATGAAGCCCAAATCTAGGTTTGTACTTATGGATAATCTCATAGGATTATATTTTAATTTATGGCACACAAATTAATATACTTTCTGACTTTAGCATATCAACATTGGAGATAGCATTGGTTGAAACGAAAATGAATTTCTTTCATCAATGATCCCAATAATAGAACCGAACATATATGTATGTGCAGCGGCGTTTCGTCGTTATTAGAATTAGTCAGGAAACTTAAAATGTATTTTCTTAAATATTTATTTGATTTCTTGTGAACTTATAAAACACAAAAAAAATCTCAAGTTTTTCCTAATCATTTCAAATGTTAACGAGAACATATTCTCTTATATACAATAATTTTCATCTTACGTATTCTGAATCAAGAGAGAAAACGCAAGATATCACATGGGATTGTTTTGCTCGAATAAGACTTCTACCTCATAAAGATGCGGTACTTAAAAAATAGATGAAACTTCTATATCTGACTCTCTTTGTTTCAAAGAAAGATATAAAGGAAGTGTGCAAAAATATTCAACTCAAGGCTATCATAATTGTTAATGATTTGTTAAATAATAGAAGCTGCATTAGTGCACATAAAAATAAAAGTAAAGTATATAATGACTTGAGTGACTTTGCAACAATAGACGTATTTTTGTATCACAGAATTAAGAAAAGTAGAGCGACGAAGAACATTGTTAAACATGTTCAAAACTACTTTTCTCCAACAATCAAAGACCGAACTGAAAATTATCATGTCAAGATACTGATATTCATTTCACAAAATATTTATTTAATTGCAAGAACTTTTTATGTTTAGTAACATTGATATTTACTAGAAAGCCGTGAATTCTTGAATTACTCATGAAAAGTTTATATCTAAAACGATGTTGCCTTCTTAGTTTTTTCTAAAGCGTTCTTTGCCTTTCTTGCAATGCTCAGACAGGCAAGAATTTCCAAAATCAAAGTGTGCCTTCCATTGGAGTAGTTTCATGTACATTTTTCGAACACATGCAAGTCTGCTACTCCGATCACAAAAGCTGAAACTGGCAAAATCTTTTATTAAACATCTTCATGCAATTTGTTTTTGGGAATGAAAATAATTAGTTTTTATATTTCCTAGATCTACCTGAAAATACACAACTTTCGAAATGTTACTCTAGTGAATTATATTTCGATAATCATTCTAACATTTAAACCTATATCAGATGAACTCGACGCGACCCACACCCATCGATCTTCCAGACGTCATGCTAAAACAATTTAGACGAAGTTTTGTCGTGTAAACCCTACGATGACAAAGATGGCATCTTTATGAAGTAATTTTTCTGAAAGAATCTAAAGAGTGAATAAAACAATGACCGTCTGCTTGCAAAAAAAGATACTTTGTGAAATGGAATGTCAGATTAAAATGAGAAACAATAATAGGCATGCAATAAAAGAATTTATCTTTGGCATTTATATTTTTATTAAGGACCTGTTAAATAATCTTCTTACAAACCCTGTCATACAAACAATGCTAAGTCATCTTTTTCATTAGCTGTTCTATGGATGTATTTTGCGCATGAGTATTTGTCACATGATTTTTAGTTTCTATTGAACATAAGATTGACATTATCCATTGTATTGTAGATATTTATATTTTTATACTGAAATTTACTCTGGCCAATTCCCTTCATATCTTCAATTGCATTTTCTTGTTTCTTCTATCAATCAAATTCAAAATTGACTACTTATAAATTATTTGTATATTTCCAATAATTATATAGATAGATTCGATTATTATTGCTTAGAAATATATCTGTTTCTATCTCGATTCATATATTTTAACAAAAGATTTAAACGCAAAGTAATTATGATTCTTTTGTTGTTGTAGTAAACAATGTCGGTGGATCAACATTTTGGTTCATGAATATATCTAACATAATTCAACAAAATATAATTGCACCGGAAACATATGAAGAGAGCAGAGGAGAGTGATGCACGTATGATCTAGACAAATTAATGTCAAATAGATGTTTCAATAGAGAAAAAGAATAATGACTATATAAAAGAATGCAGTTGTTTTTGTTCTAGGTATATTACTTCATCGATGTCAAATGTAACTGATTCTTCTACTGTTAATTTAATTAATAATATTTCTGCAGAAATCAATCGCTATATAACATTATTTGTATTATTATTTGGTACTACTGGGAATTTATTAAATACACTACTACTTTCACAGCCGAATTTACGTTCTAATCCATGCGTTCTTTACTTTCTTGGTTCATCTATATCGAGTCTTGGAATAATGCTAGTCGGTCTCCCAACACGTTTCATAGGTGAATGGATATCAACAGATCCAACGAATACAAATGCTTTTCTTTGTAAATTCCGTATTTTTCTTCTCTATGGATTTCGTACAATATCGGTTTGGCTTATTGTACTTGCTACTGTCGACCGATGGTTCGCGAGCAGTGTTAGAGTGACGAGACGATTTTTAAGTTCTCGGCGTATCGCACATAAATGTATTTTTATTATTCATATTTTATCATTTCTTTTATGGTCACAAACGCTCTATTGTTACAATACCAATCTTCCTCAAGTTCCACTACAATGTTATGGAATGTCGCCAAAATGCCAAATTTTCAATGATGTTGGATATGCAATTACGACTGTCTTAATTCCATCTGTATTAATGTTAGTCTTTGGCCTTCTAACAATTCATAATATAAAGGGATCTCAAAGAGCAGTTGTACCATTTATAGGCACAATTCACCGTATCAGTGCGTTAAATACGAGAAAACGAAGAAAAAGACGATTCAATAAAGGCTCTCTCACTGGTATGCTTCTTCTGCAAGTTATTCTCTTAACACTCCTTTCGTTACCACAAGCGTTACAGCAACTTTATTTGGCTTTTACTATTAGCACAATTCGAAGTCCACTACGGCATGCTATAGAAAATTTCATCATTAATATTAATTTTTCTCTTACTTATGTTGGAAATAGTATTCCTTTTTACATCTATACACTCACTGGAGTTTTGTTTCGACGAACTTTTATTCGACTAATTCGTTCGATATATCGACAATCAATAGTATTTCTATCTATTATTTTCATAAACTTTATTTTTCATCTTTTTCCTGCTACTCGATGACAACTGACATAAGAATAATAGTTCTACATTAACTAGATTAGTTGTTTACAATACTATATCATTCTCATAATTTATCAAAATATAATAATTGCTTAACTAAAATTGATTTTATATCATTATCTCGTTCACGCAAAAAAAACCATCAAGTTTTTCGCTTAATCTGTATTTATATCAAAGATACAGAAGAAAAGTTAAGAAAAAGTTCTTTGATGGATTTAAATACAAGCTGATCTATTTCACCAATTCGTATCTAATATAAATGATAGAAAATTCCAAACAATTTCTATACAATATCTTTGCGAACAGAAATTCAAATAAAATAGACTTACGTCGATCAATATCGATTGTAATAAGACAATTCTGTGTTCAAAATGTATAAATATTCTTCTGATATTTAATTACATGTCATCGCTGAACATATATCGAACTTGCATCTTCTTAAGGTGCACTAAGGTCAGCAATCGAGCAGGAGAAAAATTCCTTTTACTCTTACATAGCTGGGTAGAGCTCAATGACTAGATCATGAATATCACCTTTTAAATGATTCTAAGCGTACGTTTTGACTGAGAAATTTTCAAAATACAAGCTGCACCTGAAAAAGTGAATATTTCAATTTTTTCGAGAAAACTCGAAGTTTACCTAGTTTAATAATCTTCTAACTTTCGAAAACTATGATCATCGAATTCAAAATGAAAATCTGTATCTGCTGATGAAACTTTGGCCAGTAAAAGACATAAGTTTCATGTTGGAGGAGCTCCACTAGGTCCTCACATAGACACGTTGAAATTGATGTTTCGCAAAATCATCAAGGATTTTTTTTTGAAAGCAATTCTCGGACTTTCTTACGTCATTCGAGCCGTCAAGTGATAGCAAACAAAATGATTTATTCAGTTTTAAAAATATTGTTCTGTCTCTGAGAAAATCGATTTTTACTAGATCGACGCGGCTATAGGTTACAGAATTTTTCTCTTATTTCGAGATTTTTACTATCAAAACTTAACTTCCATGAGAAATAAACATCAGATTCAGAATCAGCACAAAAAGCAACCTTACCTATCATAAATTTTATTAAAAAATAATTTTCTTCAAAATTTTATCTGTGGGGGACTACAAATCTCGAAATAAGAAGGCAATTCTTTAACCTATAGCCGCGTCGATCTAGTAAAAATCGATTTTCTCAGAGACAGAACAATATTTTTAAAACTGAATAAATCATTTTGTTTGCTATCATTTGACGGCCCGAATGACGTAAAAAAGTCCGAGAATTGCTTTCAAAAGAAATACTTGATGATTTTGCGACACATCAATTTCAACGTGTCTATGTGAGGACATAGTGGAGTTCCTCCAACATGAAACTTATGTGTTTTACTGGCCAAAGTCTCATCAGCAGATACAGATTTTCATGTTGAATTCGATGATCATAGTTTTCGAAAGTTAGAAGATTATTAAACTAGGTAAACTTCGAGTTTTCTCGAAAAAATTGAAATATTCACTTTTTCAGGTGCAGCTTGTATTTTGAAAATTTCTCAGTCAAAACGTACGCTTAGAATCATTTAAAAGGTGATATTCATGATCTAGTCATTGAGCTCTACCCAGCTATGTAAGAGTAAAAGGAATTTTTCTCCTGCTCGATTGCTGACCTTGGTGCACCCTAGATGCGTAATACTTTAACTATTTCAGTATCTGATTGATCAAATTAAGATTAAAAATAAAGAAAGCACATGGATATTAGCTAATGTATTCTTAATTGTAACAAGTCACCTCAAAAAGACTCGAGATCTCAAGTAATAAGCCAATGGTCTTACTGAATTCAATTAATTATAATTGAAATTTTTCAATAATATTTGTACGACAATAAATAGGGAATTTGTAGGTTTATAAAATTGTAAACTACATTTTAAAAGAGAATTTTTCTTGATTGTAAAGCACACAGCACATTAAGATACTCTATTGGTCGTTGCTGTAAAAATGAAAATATAAATGCAACCATTCTGGTTGAAAAAGATCGATGTTTTTAATTATATTTTATTTAATGAAATTGGTCGGTTATGTGTTCTTGTCAAGGAGGAAAAGCTGATTCTGTAGTGATAGAACCATTGGAATCAGGTAGAATCAATAGAATCACTCGGAATCCATGGAATCACTCAGAATCGGTGGGAATCACTCGAAATCACTGGGATTCTTCAGTGAGTTCTAGTGATTCCGGGATAATTCTACTGGTTTCGAGCAATTCCATCGATTCCAAATGATTTTATTGATTCCGAATGATTGCAATGCGCTGGATTCAGCTGTTTTCATCTTGATTACAATCAATTTTCTTCTGAACATGAATCTGATATTGGTTTTTGTTTAGTCATAAAAAATCGAAGAGAAAACAATTGATTGTATAGTAATGGAATCATTCGGAGTAAATGGAATCACGGAATCAGCCTTTTCCCCTTGGTTCTTGTAGACTACAATATTCTAATTGTTTCCAGTTGGTGAACAAAGACTTAGTAAATAATTATAGTCCGACAGAAAAAAACCATTCATTATTTAAAAATTCTCGCAAAGCCAATGCTGAGAATATGTTCAACGCGCTAGCCAGGAGTAATTATCTAAAGAGTTGAAGTAAGGTGAATATTTTAAGACGCATTGTGAAAATAAAAAGAAAATTTAAGCGAAATATGTTAAAATGCTCAAAAAACACTTTACCAGCTATATTGTGCAATAATAAACGATTGAATTGCTATCAACAATGGAGAGTATTCTCTCTTCGTTTTCATATGTGTTTTTGCTTTTAAAATCCACTTTCATCGCAATACATACCGTTGAAAGACGCAGTGATAGTTTAGAGCTTCTATATAAATGTTTGTATTTTTGTCCAAAACTAAAATGTTCTTGTTTGAAACTGTTGATTTTAATTTTGCACAGCTTAACATTCTCTATTAGGTTTTTGTAATGGGAATGAATATTTTGTATAAATTTAAATATAATAATATATCTGGAGTGTTTTACAATATTTGTTTGTATCAATAACAGGATCCACCAGAACTAAAATCAATAATGTGAGATACTTCTATCGATTTGCATGAGTACAAAAGTGTGCTTTAGTTCTTAATTTCGACGTCATACAATCTGCTAATGTCAAGAAAAAACGCAAAATCAGACAGAAACTATAGTAATATTTTGTATTCCTAAGCAATAGTTAATTTTCATATGTTTATTTGTAATTTTGGTGTTTTTTAAGGTTAAAATTCAGTATTGTTTTCTATCTTGATAATTTTGGAAATGCTTTTGTATTTTCCCCTGAAGTCTTCTGACCGATGAAACAGTTAGACCATACAATAAAGTTGCCAATTTTGATTTCGTCTGTAGATAGATTTTAATTATGAGATATTTTATTGAGTTTTTCAAAGATAGATGTGTTTCAATTTGAATCTTAATGGCTTCTATTTACTGCTATAATGAAATTCTTCTTATTTTTTTATTAATAAATAGCGAAGAATGAACGTATAGGTTATTGGTCGTTGTTTTTTCGGGTCACTATTAGCATAATTGTACTGTGAAAATATAGTTTACTCGGTTACTAGACACTTCTTTCATCATTCGTTGATAAGAAAAAACATAATCATATTTAACTACGGAAATTGTTTTTGCTCATTTTAATTTCGTATAGAATATCCATGAGTCGATCATAAAAAAAGATCAAATGTTACCGTGAATGAACATTTTCAGAAATAAATTTGTATTGCTCGATGTTTGCGCATAACTTCGGTATCAACAAGTGAAAATTAGTTTATGATTAGCAAAACTAAAAGCATTTTGATGCAAGAAAATAAAATAACCGAATTTTTTGTTGTATGCAATCATTTTGTTTTTATAATAATGTCATACAATAATTTTCGTTTTATGATTTCTATCCAATGAAATTCAGGAAATAATTTATAATCAAATTTGACACGTACACGCTATATTTAACCATAAAAAACGTGTTAATGTATAAGTATAACCGCAGTAAATCGTGTTTCTTATTGATGATGTCAGCAAAAAAATTTTTTTTTCTTCTTTGCTTAGTATTAACAAAACTATCAAAGTAGTCAAACGAATCGAACAACATGAATTTCATCCATGAAAAAAAATATTTTAAATCTTTATTTAGCAATATTAAATCTCTTCAATATCTGGCAATCACTTTGCACATATTCGATTTTTATATTCGTAAATTTATTTTACGTCAAAACATGCTATGGTTACATTTTTTTTCTATTTTTTATTTTCATCAAACATAACCTCTCTCTACAATATACTGCCATCTTGTAAATATGGCTGTTAGTTTTGTTCGCGCTTCCCTATAGCAAGAACATCACATCACTTGGCAACCGTTGCTTCTTTCAATAAAATGAATGCTTAGCTTTCTTACCCCATGCCAGTGATTGTTGTCTGAAAGGTTGTTCGCCTCCTGTTTTCTCTCGTGTTTGATCGTACAAAAAAATATAAGGTTTCCTCTCTCCCTCTCTCTTTCTTTCTCTTTCTCACAGTTTCCTATATAAATAGAGCAACTATTCATCGGTGCTTTATTCGTCATCGTTACTTAACGTAAGTTAATATACACTGTATGCTTGATTGGTCATTATTTTCTGTTTCTTTTTTAATAGAAGTTTTATTTCTCAAAACCAACAAAATGACTGACCGTAAAGCTGTTATTAAAAATGCTGATATGTCCGAAGACATGCAGCAAGATGCTGGTTAGTTATTAAATTAATCAATTTTTTTTCAGTACATCTATATATATATATATATCGGTATTTATTTCTTTGTTTAGTTGATATTGCAACACAAGCACTTGAAAAATACAATATTGAAAAAGATATTGCTGCTTACATAAAAAAAGAATTCGACAAAAAATACAATCCAACATGGCATTGGTAGGTTCGACCATTTTTCAATGACAACGAAAATTATGTTTTGTCTTTTTCTATTTCAGTATTGTTGGTCGTAATTTTGGTTCATATGTGACACATGAAACAAAACATTTTATTTATTTTTATTTGGGCCAAGTTGCTATTTTGCTCTTCAAATCAGGCTAAGCACGAACAATCATTACCGAACTGTATTCATAGGCAGATTATTATTGTAAAAATAAAATCTTGTTCATTCGAGATTGTTTGTTTTTCTCATTTATTTATGCTTGAAAAACGCGCTTATCTTTTTGTCTATTTGATAATCAATCTATGAATCAGCGTGCAGTTGCTAAACGATATAAATACAAAATGATATGAGAACTGATCGAAACAATAGTTTGTAATTTATAGCGTCTTAGACAGATAGACTAACATAATGTTCAATGATATTAATTCAATTTAAAATCATAAGAATGAATCTAGTGAGATCTTGTTTTCCGTTCCAATGACATCATTGTCTAGTATTTATTATGATAAACTTAATCTTAGTTGATTGTGAGACGTGATCTTTATCCAGACACATCATTTCTGTTTATCATTAAGATATCAGAGAAATTATTTTTCTCATGTCGATTTTACAATAATATATCGTGACATTCATTACTATTTCACTCATAAAACAATTAATCGGCGTCTCATCTCATTCAAAGACTTCAAGATGTCGTTTATTGAAAGAAATAAAGATTTCTACAAAGTATCATCACAAGGATAATTAGATTTGTTTAAACGAAAATATATAACACTAACTGATTCTAAATAATGAAAATAATTTCCTTTCACATTGAATGAATTCTTACCTTAATTTCTGACCTGAAAATTCCAATGTTGGCGATCAACCGAAGATATACAGAATATTTATTCGAAAGAATACTTGTTTTTTCTTTCTTTTTCATATCAATACTTAATTAAAATGACGTTATATTATTAGATTTGATGTGAAGTATGAATAGTATTAATTCAAATAAAACCTACTCCTTCTGACAGTTTCGGAAACGAGCGATTTTTGTAAAAAAAAAATTAATGACATAGAATGGTTTCAAATGTTTTTCTTTTGAGGTTCCCTATTTAATTGTAAGACGCATGATTTTATTCCGAAAAAATCTTTAAAATTTTATTCTCATAGCTTAACCATTTTCTATTTTTATTTTTAAATTAAAAAAGAATATAATCATATTTTTATGTACGTGACATCAAGTGTAGAATATATCGCGTTTTACATTTCAAATATTCCCAGGACGAGCTTTACGACGTCCGTATACGGTGAAATACGGGCCGTATACGGCCGTTTTCTGCCGTATCCGACGGTAAATCGCCGTATTTGGCCGTATTACATGGCTCTGTATTACGATCGTAAATCTCCGTGTCGTAATACGGTGAAATACGATCAAAAACGACCGTAAAGCGCCGTATTTCGCCGTATACGACACGGAGATTTACGACCGTAATACGGAGTCATGTAATACGGCCAAATACGGCGATTTACCGTCGTATACGACCGTGTATGTTCGACCTGGGTTTAGTTCTACTCGTGTATTTTATCATTATTATGTTAAAATGAAGATGGTTTTCAAGACAACTAGATGTAAAATACTTTTGTGTAACGATGGCAAGGTACGATAACTTAAAAATAGTATTTGACTGTTTGGAAGAAAATTTTTCTAATTACTATGAAAGATTTGTATTTCAAAACTGTTCTTTAGAAAATTAAGGTGCTCATAAATTAGTTTTGGATTCTGTTCCGGAAGAATTTTCAAGTATGTATAAAGCTTAAGCAAAATATGGCATTATGAAGCTTTTCAAATAGCTTGCATAAATATGTATAAGAAACACCCTCAAACATCGAACATAGTAAATATTTAACATAAAAAAGAACCATGAAAAAATGTTCTTCAGTGTCATTTGTAAACTGAATATGGTTTCACGAGAAAAACTCGTAGAGAAGTCGCTACCATAATGATCTGTTCAAAACGAACTAAATTATTGTAATCACAACCAAGGTGGCCAGATGAAAAATTGAAAAATCAGAAAATATTTTTTCAAAATCAGAAAACGATCTCTGAAAAATCAGAAATTAATCAGAAAATGGCAGTTGTTGGCAAATTAGTAGATCCTCCGCTAAAATACTGGCATCCAAAATTCTGCTGCATTTCGGTTCACTGACGTGGACCTTTATTTTCAAAGATATTTAAATAAAACGAAAGAAACTATAGTGAATATATCGTTTAGCTAATATACAAACATCAATAAATGATACTTAATGTTGAGCTTGTTTTTAAATTTAAAACTCGTTCACAGAAACGAGCAGAACTAAATCACATACATTCTGCGTAGATTAAGAAATCCAACGAGAACAAAACCTTAAATTCCATCGTCTTGGTATTGTTATTTATATTTCGTATCTTTTGGAATTTGCTCTAGAAAGTTTGTTTAAGATAACATATGCTAATAAAAACCTTCTCAAGAATTATTACCAATCACTTTTATTTTAAGTTAAGCATTATCTGGTTTTTATATTACTGGATTACGATAATCAGACTATAAATGCTTCATATAACCGAAAATCAATTCTACTCCAGAATTCGAATGCGGAATATAAAAGATGATGAATACAGAAAATTGATGAAACACTATTGATTTATTATAGTAATGGGTTAGAATCGTACCTAATTTCAGTGACAAAGCAACGATCTGAAAATATTCCAAATTCAGAAAAAATCAGAAACATGTTCAAAATTCAGAAATTTTCCATAGTTTTCAGAAGATCTGGCCACCGTGATCACAACACTTGTCAATCGAATATGCAAAGATGAACTTCTTGAGTCATAGATCGGCAAAAAACTCGACAAAAATGAACAAACAAATAGCTTCCCTATGGGAAAATCGTTTCGCCTGATTGATTCTGTTTTGTGGAACTCACATATATTTTCGAATAAAATGGTGAGTGTAAGTTTATAAGCGAGATTTTTGCGGCTCCCCACCCCCTCCCCATTACAGACATGAATTAGCTTAAAATTGTGCTAATTAGGAGCTTGACTACTTAGGCTGCTATTTCTTCCTTTTTTAATCACAGACTACACGAAAAACGCAATGGTTACCCATTACAGACCTTAGTAACTAGCTTAGAGTATCATTACAGACCGTATAAACTAGTATCTGCCATTGTTAAATATACCAGCTAATAATTAATACTCGATTGTAGACATAAGCAAATAGACAATGACCTAATTATAGGTTTTGGAAATCAGGCTAGATTTTTCAGATGAACTACTTTCAATTATTTTAGTAAGCCGAAGGGATATATGTGAGTTCCGCATTTTAGCCCCAAAGGGGCTGCGCTAACAAGCTTTTTCTTCTTATTAACAGTAGAGGATATGTGTCAAAACAAATATATTTGCATCATATGATGTCAAGTGTCCATCATTTTGAGCTAAGCAACATGAAGAGCATGACATACGTATAATTTGTGGACCTCTTAAGCTCTATAAATCTCTTCAAAATCGTTTCGGACTATTTAAAACTACTATAAGTAGTAGCTAAAGACATGAGGCATTATAAATTAAATTACTTGAGATAGTTTCTTCTCAGAAATGGTTTACTATTATTATTATAGATAGTACTAGTTTTTTGTTTAGTTTTCATTTGTATGAGTTTTATTTCTTTATCTGTTGCCTGCATTGTATTTAGAACTGTTTTTCGCCTAGTAGTCACCCTGCATAAACAATAATTCATTCCTGTCTTAAAACGTTTTGCCAACTTCTTTCAAAGTAAACAATAAGGAAGAAGGTTTTAGCTATACAAAATAATTCTATTTATTACTACATTCAATTTTGCATCGATGAAAATATCGAATATACGACAGTCCAACAAAACTACTAAAATGAAAAAAGGATTTTCACTAAGCCTTAGCAACAGCATCAGTCATAAAACTCTTTTTAATGTACCCAAAAAACGTTTTCTATGCCTCCTAATACTTATCTATTAAATACATCAAAGTAATTGTTGAATACTTATATCAAATCTGCAAGAAGCGTATTAATGAATCTCTATGCCTTCTGGTCTCTAAAAGGATGTCATATCTATATCTATATATATATCCATCAGACTTTTCACATCTAAGTTATCAATTACGACATCAGTTGTGATACTTAATCGGTAGACAGCACAAAGAAATTCTTCCTGAAAGGCTAGAAGTTAGTCCATTGGATATTATTTTGTTACTACTTATTTTATGTCTATCAGTTGTTTTCTTTTTCAATGTGATAATCCGTTTGGTAACAGCAACAGAATGTTTTCCATAAGTTCAAATATATAATGGTATAATAATTATCTGATTGCTTAAAATACATTTTTTTAAAGAAAAAAAATCAATTTTACGATGTTTATAAAGGCCTTAAGTAGTCTGGAAGTTATCGTATTGACTTAAAACATTTGATTGGTGTTGCCACATAGAAACAGTAATAAAATTTCGCAATTGTTTATTTTATTTCTTCATTGTCGTTATTCAAATGCGTTTGAAACTTTGAATAATTCAATCATGAGAATGAATACTATGTTTTAAAAAAACCAATGATGAATAAGAAAGAATGCGTTTAATTGGAGAGAACTTCTCCAATGAGTATTTATTTTTTGTCAACTCATTTACCCCGTGAAGTTTCATCTTTTCGAAGCAATCTTTTGCAAGTATTATCACGTATAGAATTATTAAAGAAAATCATTCGGAGCATAAAATAAATGTAAGTGTGACCAATTTTTTATTATATCTATATTACATTATTTGCAGTAATCATCAGACTGGTATTATACATTTAATCCTTAACTTTTTCTGTGATAGACATTTATTTAAAACTAAAAGTATCACTGAAGTAAAACGATGCGTGAGACGTGGCGCTCCATCTTTTTCAAAGGTCATCGATGAAACGCTTCGCTTACTGGAAGTAAATCAGTTGGCATTCTCCTGTTCGAACGTCATTGAGGATTTATACTTCTGAAGTGTTTACTTCCCCTTGAAAATTAAATGTGAGAAAAATCTATTATTAATATTACTTCGTAAATTTTCCAGTTCACTAAGTTTTTTTTTGGCACTACATACATACTATTACTGATTTGGATAATTAATCAGACGAGAGAAAAGACGAATATTCATGTTAGAATTGAAGCAAATATCTTCTTATAGATTAATTTGAATTAGGTAATCATGTAACTGAAGCTGGTATAGTTTTTCTATGATTATACTGCTTTTTTTTTATATAGTCTAGTACATAGGCGGCGGAACGTTTTGAATTTAGGGGAGGCTCAAATTTTTTCCAACGAACGATAAAAAGTCGACATTTGGAGAGAAGATAGACTTTTAAAATTCGTTGTCACAGCTTTGATTGAAAAAATTTTCTGTATTGATCCATTTATATGGCTGCAGAACAATCGAAAATTGCGTTCCTAGTCAAGAATCACTTAACGCATCCCCAGAGTCCCCACCAATTTTGGATTTTTT